TATTTTTTAATAATTAATTTTTTAAAAAATTATAATATTACATACATTAATTAATTTAATAATATAATTTATACTATATCATTAATATTAAATTTTCATCCTAAATTTTCCGCTTCCCCTATCATTACTCTTTTCAGATTTCTTGACTTATTTTGGTATTTTTTATAGAAAAAGAAAAACACCTAGGGCGCCTGGGCATTGGGTGGTGGCACATTGCCTAACACTTGTTACAACATTGTTTGTCCTCAACCAGTGAACAGTTCACCGCGCTTTGTTGTATGTCTCAAGGTTAACTAGATGTTATTTTTTTTTAAAGATTGTCTAATCTCTATTCTAAAAATATAAGTTAAGAATGTAATAATTATATTTTTTTACATTAATTATTATTAAAAAATACAAATATTATCATTAACTTCATCATTAGTATCATTTAAATTATTTTAATTAGATAATTATTTAAATAAAAATTAATCTTTATTTTTTTAATAGTAATTAATGTGAAAAAAATGCAACAATTACTTCCTGGTTAGAAAAATCCTTACTTTTAACAGATAAAACATAAATTTGTTTAATTGATCAATGAAAAAGTAGGTGAACAATGGCACGCTTTGTCTCAAGCCCTTTTATTGCTTATCTTCCAAAGCCTCGAACATCCAAAAGAAAATTATAGAGAATGAAGGGACTAAGAAGACTTGTGTTACATTAGAGAGAGCATTGAATGAACCATGTGCAGCTTTCATATGGGCATGCCATTTGCATCCACGAACTTCAAGACAAAACACATTCTAAGACAAGAATGTTTGTATCCCTGTCTTTGTCATACATTATTGTTCAATCAAACGATAATGAGGACCTAAGAAAGATTCTTTCTCCCAATATTCTAACCTCTGTCTTTTACCCTCCCGCAAAACCAAGTGAAAAGAAAAAGGCACCCATCTTCTCCAAAAGCTACAAAGGGGGCTTTTGGGGGCAAAAAGCCAAAGCATCCTCTAATCTATCATGCCTCCAAACATATCCTTCCAAGTACTACTTTCAACTTTGTTTTGGAGCTTTCTTCATGTCCACTTCTGCTTTTGCCTCGTCCTTCACTTTCACTACCCAAAGTAGTCTCTTAGATTGGCCACAACCTTTTCTTCTTGGACTTTGCAGCTCCCTTGCCGATTCTCATTCCCTTTTCTAAATCATTTAGAATTTCATTGATCCTCTAAACACCATAGTTTTACACAACCCAACATTCCATCCTATATATATAGAGACACTAGTGTTCATTTGTTTTGCATCCAAGAGGAGGTCAGAAACACAAACTCTGTACCTCATTAG